GGGTTGTTGTGAACCTTGCAAGAGCAGGAGTACGTAAGTGGAAACTAATTAGAAAGGTTGTGGCTTGAGATATGAATCGGGTTACGGCAGTATCCAAAACGATAGCTTGAGATATGAATCCAGTAGCGGCAGCACAACATATACTAGTTGGGAAAAATTACCGAACATGTAGGTGAGTATATGTGTGGGACATGTACTATTCTGTTAGATTTACCACAAGGATAAATGCCTATATGGCCAAAGTCTTAGGGTTCTTATATGGTATTGCTAATCTCATTAAGAGTGTTAGGGTAAAGCGTGTTACAGAAATGGAGCCAGAGGATTTAAATGGGTATTCCCATAGTTGGGTGCAGGTGTGGCAACTAGTGTAGAACCTAGGGCAGACTACTTAAATAGGTAACCAAAAGTTGTATGTATGGCTAGTCGTACTCTCGTTAGTTAAATAATCAGAGAGCTTAAATAGATAATCTTCTAGTTAGGTTGCAGGTATGGGGGCTAGTGTAGAACCCAGGCGGACTACTTAAATTAGGTACCAAAAGTACATGTGTAACTAGTTGTATCCTCGTGAAATTGATATAATATTGTATTTATCTGAATAAAGCTAAGTGCCAGAGATCTAAGTGGTCATCTTAATATTAAAAAAAAAAACAAAAAACAAATATTAACAAAGTTAATTTTGATATTGGATAGCTGGTATTCCTATATTCGTTTCATATAATAAATAACATAAAAATATTAGCGAAGTTAGTTCCAGTATCGGATAGCTGATATTTCTATATTTATTTTTTATATTGTAAATATCATACAAATATTAACGAAGTTAATTCCAGTATCTTTGCTTGCCGATACTCCTATAGTCATTTTCATATAGGTCATATAAAGCTGTCGATAGGTGCCACACTGATAGGTTACAGATACGCGCCACGTATTAGTGAGCTATTAGCTGATATATATCAGACAGTTTCTGCTAGATTTATATTACCTATCATAGGCCTATCGGCTAGCTGATAGGCCACTGAAACATTATTGTTAGACCTGTATACAAGAATACAAGAAATCAAAATCTAGAAGAAGATGAGAAAACTTTGCTAAAAATGTTGTACAATATTTATATGAAAATAAATAGTACAAAACATTATTCAGAAAATAGTACTAACTACAAAAATAACTCAAAAACAATGAACTTTACAATTACTTAATTAGAGGCCTATGATAACAGAGAAAATAATAACATAAAACTACAGATAAAAAGCAATTAAAAAGCTAATCTAATTCAAGCCCCAATTAACAAAACTAAAGACAACATAAGCCCTAATATTCTTAAAAATACTGATACTAAACTATTACTAATAAAAATTACTTTTATACAAAATAAAGAGCCAACAAACAAAATTGTATAATGATGAAAACTAAAGATTCTAAGCCATAGCATAAAAGGGAGCTTTATAGACAAAAAAGACTTTTCTAATTCCTCAGAAACCAAGCCAAATATAAACAAAAATATTTTAATTATAAACAAATATAATACACTAGATTATAGCTTAGAAGAAAAAATAAAAAACAGCTTACAGAAAACTTCAAAAAAAAAACAAAGCAAAGCTACTAAAAACTAAAATAATATAAAAAATATACAACTCTATATGGGCTTCAAAAAGCAGTTTTACTGATCAAAGGTATACAAATACATCTCACTACTAGTTTACTTTCTGGAATTTACCTTTAGACTTAAAAGCAGAGAAAATAAAGAACTATCTTGGCTACTATAGCACAGTTGCAATAATTAACTGGCAACATTTATTCAATTTAAAAACAGCCTAAATTAAATCTTTTCAAATATAGAAAAAGAGACAACCTTCTTAAAGTTTACTAGTCAGTCCCACTTGAACAAAACAAAACATACTAAACTACACTAGAAATGTTTATTATAAAGAGTTTAAAAAAATATATATATACAAAACCACAATTTACAATGTGCCAAACTCAGTACTAGACAGTCTTTTACTCTAATAACTAAAAATTTATAATGTCCAAGCAGTTCATATTCTATCTAACTACAATAAAAACTATTGTAGAAGAGCCCAAAAATACTTCAGAACAGAAGATAATCTAATACAAGCCTTTAATTTAGAAATATACTACTTTAATATGAAACTATAGTAGCAATATACTCAACTAGTTAGAAGTACCAAAAAACCCAAATCTATCTACCAAGCTCAAAAGATAAAAACAACACCCAAAATGACAAAGAAAAGCAACAAGCTCCTGAAACTAAATTTTATGAAAACCAAAGCCTCTCTCAAAAACCAAGATATAATAAGCACTCTTCCAAAATGAAAGTTCTCTACAACTTTAATAAAGAGAATAAACTAATTAAAAAAAAGCAAAACCTGTTTAAAGAAAAGCTCTTACTTAACAAAAAAGAAAGAAGCACCACTAGTTTTTTCTATAATCTGAGCCCAACCCAGACAAAAACTTGTAGAATCTTTTAAATGAAATAAAAAACAAATTTATAAAGATAGAGTAGCAAATCACCCAACACTTCTGAGTTTAGCCATAGTTGAATTACAGATGAAAGAGTTAAAAAATATCTTAAAGTATAAAAAACATTATTAAAAAAAGAAAAAAACAACAATAGATAAGAATTTCAAATATTTAAAAATAGATTTTCACAATATTAATAGTCTGAAGGAAAACAAGATAAAACTTCAGAAACTAATTGACTTTGAAGCTAAAGAAAATTTGAATATTATAAGGATAACTGAAATGAATATTAATAAAAGAGAGGCGAATTTCATAGAAGTAAAGGAAACAATATAGTGCATTCTGAACAAAGGATACAATAGATAAAAAAAAAGATTCAGGAGTAGGAGTTCTAATCAGAAAAAAATGGCAAACACACCTAACTGAAGTAGCATTAAAGAATACTTATTTACTAAAAATAGTACACAGGTTTAAAAAGTTAGTACTAGTATTATAGGTAGTATACTTCTTTTCAAATGATAAGCAAATATAAAAAATGCTACAACAAGGTTTAATAGAAGATATTACTAGAAGTAGCTATAATACCAAAATAATAATTGGAAGAGACTTTTACGTGGTAGTAGAACTAGAAGTTGCACCAAATTGAGCAACTATACCAGTATCCAAAGATAAAATTGGCAACAAACTCTCTCTTTTAAAATAGTTCTAAAGAGTAGAATTTACAAAAGCTTATCTACTAATAAACCTATATATATATAAGATAATATAGTTTAATAGCAAATATAGTTTGAAAATAGACCACATATAGTTAGATCCTGAAATTAAAGATCTAACAATAAATAGCAACATAAAAGATATAGATCTAGTTACAGGCAATGACTACAATCTAATATAGACAAAAATACTACTAAGCTCTATCCTCTACATAAAGTCACATAGTAAATAATGAAAAGATTACTTAAACTACTACAAAATCTATCTTTATAAGAAAATATCAGGAAAAAATTTATGTTATTATTAGAAAAGTACATTGAGAAGAAATAAGAAAAAGTTAAAAAGAAAAATAAAGAAATATATACCTCTGCAAATGAATACCTAATAAATAAAGACTAGAAAAAGCTCTTAAAATGTATAACTCTTGTAGCTAGCAAAACAATCTTATTTAAGAAGATTAAAAACACAATAGAAAAAAAACAAAACCAAATTATCTGGAATCCAAAATACAAATAGATCAAATAGCTCAGAAGTATAGGTAGAAGAAAAAAAATATAATATAGATTTGAGAATTGAGTCTGAAAACCAACAGCTTACAAATAATCCAATAAGACAAGCTAATCAATTTAATGAAACCCAAATTAAAGAGGTGGATAGCTTTTGGTCTAACTACAGATAGAAGATCTCAAGAGTTGGATTAAAATAATAGAGAAAAGGATAATTATAAAACAAAAAACAGAACAGAGAAAAAAAATAAGAGATAATATAGAAAGAAGATATAAAATAGTTGGGCACAAAAATAAAAAAAATGCTCAACAGTATTCTCAAACAATCCTGGAATAAAATATTAATAGAAAGATTGTTAGTTACAAAAAACAAACCAACAGGAAAAAAAAACTAGTTTATAAACCAGAAAAAGCACTAAAAGCAGTAAACAAGCACTTCTCAGAACAATTTGAAGAACCTACTATAGCCTCAGAAATTAATGATAATATATAGCAGCTAGAATACAAACCTCTCAACTATATTTGTCAAGAATAATATAGAGTGTCTTAGATAAAATCAAGAAAAAAGAATAGGAAAAAATACTTCAAACTACCTCAAATAGCTCTGCTTCAGGGTTATCTAATATTGAGTACGCAATTCTAAAAAAGTTTGAGAAAAGAGCAACAAAAATATTTCTTTAATTCTTAAACCTTATTCTAGAAGAAGAAATAATACCTAAAAATAAAAAATAAGTATGATTTTTCCAATTCTAAAACTAGCTAAATAAGACCTACAACTCAAAAACATAAAACCTATTATACTCTTTGAAGCAGCAAGAAAGGGTCTAGTTAGAATTATCCAAAAAAGGCTAAATGACTAAATCATAGTACATAGAATTTTAAGAGAGCTAAACTTTGCAGAACTACAAGAAGAATGCATCCAAGAACCTATTTACATTATGAATACCTTAATCGAGTCAGCCAAACAGAAAAATAAAGAAATGTGGATAACACTTATAGACATTAAAAAAGTATTTGATATTGTCAATCTTAAAAGACTTCAACTAGCAATTAAAAGAATTAAGATTTCAAAAAATTAGAATAATTTTTGATTATCTTTTTCAAAACAGAGAAATCAAAATATCTACTAAATTTGGATTAACAGAAGGCTTTATTGCAAAAAGAGGAATAGACTAAGACAAAGTAATTTCTCTACTACTATGAAAAATATATTTTGACCCATTGCTATAAAACTTCTAAAATATAAACAAGGTGCAAAAACATGAATTGAATGGTCTCTAGAAATATATCATAGCGAAATAAAAAAAGAGTCAATACAAGTAGCAAGACTAGCCTATGCAGATGATATAGCCCTTATAGCAAATTTGAAAGCAAAATTGCAAAATATAATCAGTATTGCAGAATTCTTTTTCAGCCTTAATAATATCAAGATTAATAGAAAAAAGACTGAATTTATAGTTGTAAACCATCACAATAGAGTGAAAAAAAAAGCAATAGCGATTAAAAATGAGAATGAAAAGATAACTGCAAAAAAAAAAAAAAAAATAGTACGATATCTGGGAGTCTGGATCTCTTCTGATGATATAAGATAAATAACCAAAAGAAACTTGGTCTTGAAATTAAACAGATTGTAAGCCTGCAACAAAGGAAAAAATTTTAATAAAACATGTAAGATATATAAACAATATAGTAATTCTTTCTAGAGCAGAATACAAACTTAACACAATTTTGCTATCAAAAAAAGAATATAAAAAACTATATCAACCAGTTCAAAAAATAGCAAAATAGAAAGCAAAACTTGTTTTAATATCATCAAACTCTATTCTAATACAAGAAAATATATAGGGAATTAACTTATTATAGCAACATCACACAGAGTACATGATCTCAGAATAGGTGATCAGAATCAATAATCCAAATCTAGTAGGTAATTTTACTAAAATGTAGCTTAAAGATGCCCAACTATTATTAAGATCCACAATTCCTATCTGGCTCTTAAAAAAAAAGAAACTAAAATTACTTAAGTAGAAAAACAATCTTAATACTAGTATACTAATAGTAGCTAAAGAACTAGGTATTAATATCAAAAGCTTTTCTAGAGCTATAGCTCAAAGCAAAGGTAATCTAAAAGAAATAAGAAAGCTACTTAACAAAAATAATCTAGAAAAAAGTAGTACTTCTCTTAAAAATCTCAAACTGTAATAACTAGAACAAATAACTTTATAACAAAACAACACTTTGTTTATTTGGCAACAAATTTGCAGAATTAGAGGCCTTACAACCAAAGAACATGTGCAAGTATAGTTCTGAAACCTAAAAAATAAAGTATTTAAAAATAAGTTCTTTTGAAAATTAAAAGAGCCTTTTTCACATGCAAACACAATTAATATCAAATATATAAAACTCAAGAAAATCAATATATTGTATAAGAAATCAAAAAAAAATGGGTAATTAAAAACAAAGGTGAAGCAGGACTATGCTTTATTGGCAAGTTAGAAAAGAAACTCCTAAATAAAAAAGTTTAAGTAATTGAATAGAATAAAGAAAACAAAGAGAATGATTATAATAGCAAGCTAGATTTAAAAATATTCTCTATTACTAACACTATAAAAGTTAAAGCAAAAGAAATTAAAGATATAAGTGCCTGGATTAAGAGAAGAAGTAAGGGAGGTTGGGCAGCATCTATAAAGCTAGAATATCTTAAAGACTTGGTAGCTCCAAAAGAGAAGACTCTAATTTAAAAAAAAACAAAAATCTAATAGCTAATTTATACCAAGAACTAGGAAAAGTATCTAATTAAGAATGCAATAATAAATATAAGCAAATAACAGGAACTAGTAGACACAGTTAGAGAAAACTAAAAATTTAAAAAATTAATATTTTATACTAATAGCTCATTTAGAGAAGAAGGAAAGAGAACCATAAAACTAGATACAGAGTAATTCAAATAGATAACAAGGGTAATATAATTAGAGAGCTAAAGGGCAAAATTTAGAAATGAACTTCCTCAACTAGGCCAGAACTAGTAGCTATACTTAAAGTGACTTTAGTTTCTTTAAACAACAGTAAAATAAATATTTATACAGATAACCAAGCAGCTATTCAAGCAATAGAGAGATATCAGAAAACCAAAAACACAAGATCTTGGTATAAAATTAAAAATTCAAGCATTCTTGAAGCAATAGCTAAAAATCTTACAACTAAAAACATTGAAATCCACCTGATCAAAGTAAAAGTATATGCTGGGAACATACTAAATAACCTTGCAAATAGAGCAGCAAAAAAAAGGTGTACAGTAAACTGAAGCAATAGTCCTTAATATAAACGAGATCCAGGGTATTACTTTTAGTGCAATATGAAAAAGCAAACAATCAAAACTCCAATTTGCAACTTTTTCAAAAAAATAACACACATATTTCACAAAGTAGACTAGCTATTCTTCCAAAACCCAAAAGATAAGATCTACCAGAAAAGAGTTGCAAACCAAATCTGGAAAATTTTCTAAAAGTTGTGGGAAAAAGAAAAAAAAAAGAAAAAAAAATTCTTTAAAACCAACAAAAATAGAGTTTCTAACTTAAAAGCCTAAGTGAATTACTTCCTATACTTTAATTTCAAAAAAGAAATTAAGAAGATCTTTACTCCTCAGTGATATGCAGAAAATGCTTACAAGAAGAGAAAAACTTTGACCACTTAATAACATGTAAAGCAGACAAAGCAAGGTGGCTAAAAGAAGAGTATGCAATTATAAAAAAAGTTTGGAAGAACCTGAACCTCCAACTAAAAGGAAAAATCTTATATACAACTCTTCAACAAATTCTAGTAAAACAAGGAAAAAAGAACCAGATTCAAAGAAGAAAAAAATGGCAAGAGGACTTATTTAAGTGAACCTAGCACCTTCACTAAAAGCCAAGGCTATTCCAAAAAAACACTAGAAGCTATAATACTTGAATGGTGGAACAAGTGGCACTCATTTTTTCAAGAAAAAGTATGGATACATCACTGCAATGAAGTATTAACCTGGAAAAAAGAACTTCAAATCAACCAAAAAGCAAAAAAGGAAAAAAAGTAAAAACACCTGGGAGAAGCCCAATCCAAGAAAAAAAAAAGCTCTGAAACTACCCAATTGTAGAAAAAAACCAGAAAACATTAGAGAAAAAATAATAATAATATTAATAATAGTAATAATAGCAATAGAGAAAAATAGTGAAATAATTTTAAAAAAAAATTAGATATAGTAGTAGAAGAAGTCAACAACTAAGTATAGACTGGTAGATAGTCCTGGTAAAATAATAACTAAGAAAAGATCATGACAGGCTGTAGATCCTGGCTGATGAACTATGGATCTCTTATCTAAGGTAGATAAGAGAGAAATAAAGAGGTTAATTCTACTTTGGCAGGTTGCACATATGTCAGAAAAATTAAATAAATGTAAATTTGCAAAATATATATTTTTGCAGATTTTTTACAAAAAATCTGTAAAATTTTCTAGAATTTAAAGTTTTTTACAGAAATGTATTTAATTTCTGCATATATAGCTATTATTTTGAAGTTTTGTGCAAATTTTCATTTAATTTATTATTTAATTTATTTGCAAAATTGCACAAAGCTGCACTAAAAAAAAATTTCCTGATATAGGCACCAACTGGCAACCAAGTGAGCCACACTTTAGTTTAAATAGCATAGCTACAAATAAAATCTATATTTTGTTTAAATGTTAAATCTATAATAAAAAGTAAAGTTGTGCTATAATCACTACAAAAAAAAAAAAATTTAAGAAAAACTTGAAAATTATAAAAATATAATTTTTTATAAATAATTATTTTACAGTATGATCATACATTTTAAACTTCGCTGTCTTGTATGATCTACTGGTTTTGCATAACACCAATTGAATCTAGGTGCCACACAAAAAATATACAGCATATCCTCAATACTTGATTGGCTAAGAGCAACAATCAAAAAATTAGGCTGGAGTTACTTATAATTTTATTAATGAAATTGTAACCATCTATTAAATGAAATTGTTCCTGGGCCAATTTTACTATAATATGGGCTTATTTTTTAAAAATTTCTATTTTTATAATGAAAAAAAATTAAAAAGTTAATTCCGGCCAGAAATTAGTAAATAATTATGTAATGCAGGCCAAAATTTTGAAGATTATTGGCCATTAGCCGATCAAAATCGAGGATCTGTCGCGCATTTTTTGTACAGCACCTAGGTTACAGCTACCTAATTGTGTAACTTAAAATCTGTCAATAATTAAATAGCTATATCGATATCAATATAAGTTGTTATTAGTTGAGGCGCATCTAGGGTTGTTAACTTACATGTAAGTTACATGTATTTTACCCAATATAAGTTTTATTGTAACTTACTTTTAAGTTATGCGTCATATATCAAATTTTTAGCCATTACAGTTGATAATGCTGGTAAAAATTGTTACGTGATTCGGCTAGCTTTAAAACTATTTTGTAACTTAAAAATAGGCCGGTAAGTTACAGTAAGTTACAGTGTAATTTACATGTACATTACGTCGTCAGGTATGGTTTAACAACCCTAGGCGCATCTTCCAGTGATACAATTGAACCTAAGTGCCGCACAGAAAAATGCGCGGCAGATCCTCGATTTTGATTGGCTAACGGCCGAGGATCTTCGAAATTTTGGCCCGCTTTACAGATGACTACTTTATTTCATAACTGTACTTAAAGAAAAATGCATATTTTAATTCGTATTAATTGTTTACTAATTTCCGGCCGGAATTAACTTTTTTTAATTTTTCCATTACAAAAATAAAAACTTTTTTTTTTAAAAAAATAAGCCTGCATTATGGTAAATTGGCACAGGAACAATTTTCTCTTAACGGGCGGCTGCAATTTCATTAGTAAAATTCCGGTTTAATTTTTTGATCGTAACTCTTAGCCAATCAAAATCGAGGATCTGTCTCGCATTTTTTGTGCCCCAGGTTACAGTGTACCAAATTATAAAATTCCATATTTATAAACTTAATAGCTTACCTAAGAATATTAGTTAATAAATATTCTTCGCTTACTGATCAAACTATATAAACAAATAAATAGAATTAAAAATTTGATCTTTCTAAAAATAGTCGCGTTATATCATCACATCGAAAGAATTGATTTTTTTCTCAAATTAAAATGTCTCATTATTTTATTAATTTGATGTGGGATAAGAACATACAGTATATAAATAAAAACCAAGATTTCAATTATAATCAAAAATTAGGTAGAAAATGCCAGAAGGAATTTTCTTAATCTATTTCCATTTAGCGACACATATCGGTTCACCATTTTTTAACGTACGTATGTACGTACGCACGTAAGTATTTGCATTCGCCCTCTCACAAAAGACACTAAGCACATAAATTATCTTTCGTAAGCATTTGCAGTACGTTTAATTCCAGATAACTTCATAAAATATTCTTGAACGACGAAGATTAACAAATGGCATTTTTAATTACAGCCAGTGTTTATTTTTTCACGTGCCCGCATCTGTGTGGATCCAATCAAATTGCTTTATTTCAAAAAATCGAGTGATTCAATTGGATCTGCACAGATGCGGTACGTACGTACGTACGTGAAAATAAACACAGGTTACTATTTTTGGAACACTATACATATGTACAGTACGTAAGTACGTACGTACATAGGTTTATGCAAAATTTTGATTAGGTACATACAAAAAAGAAAAGAATATCCCAGAGTATTGATATATAAAAAACCTAATGTTGGGTTGAAGTTCCTCATTTTACCGAAACATAACTACGTTAAAAAATTTTATAACAATCTAAATTATTAACATGTATGAACAAAGTTTTAATTATTTTAATATAGTAAATTGCTATTGAGACAATCTGCTCATGGTTTATTAACATATTATTCTCCTCAACAGATTTGTCATTCATTTCTAATCTATATGTCTCTACCTTTGACTTACAATGGTGATGAAACCAAAATTGAGGAATCCACCATTATCTACAATTTTGACTGGTCAACGACTTCCCTTGGCCCTATGGACTCGTGGGAGCCCATAACAAAAAACGCTTTGGTAATTTGTAGTTGTATTTTTTTTTTTTATTTCTTTTAAATAAAAAAATATAAGCTAGATGTTTTAACAAAATTTACAAAAATCGCGTTAATATTAGAATTTGTGCCTTCAATCTAAATTTCCCATCTGTCTTTATCTCGGCCCTGATTATATCACAATATATAATAAAGGTAAATAATTTTATAACTCAATTGCTTATCTATTTAGTTAGTTTCAAAGAACTAATTCTGTTCACTTGCATAGCATTTAAACGACAAATATCGAGGAGAAATACATACGGTTAATTATATAGTTTCACATAACATATTTATAATAAACTTGCCAACTTAACATTATTTTAATGATAAATAGATGTAGGAAAATCAGTTAAAGAAGCTTTAGACATGCCTGATTATCAACTTTCACAACTTGAAACGTAGGTTGAGTAATACTGTAATTGCGACAGCTGAAGCTAAAATTTGAACCTATTTTAAGATTAAAATTTTAAGCGGCTGTATTTTAGTTAATATTTAGTTTAGAATTATTAATAAAAAAGTATAAGTGGGTTTATATATTTAAATAGAAACCCCAAGCTTTTAACTTTAGCTTCACAATACTTTAAAGAAATTCATTCTAATATCTAAACTTTTCTTAAATGTGTAGTGTAAAGACAACAGGAAAAGGCTTCTTTGTAAAAGAACAATACGTTGAAAGAGCACGCTATGGATATAAACTAGAAGAGTACTATAACTATACATTTAGTCCTATTTTCAAATCAAATGGCTCAGTCCATGGTATAATTAATTTAGTACAAGATGTTACTCAGAAAGTTTTGAGTGCTCGAAGGTTTAAAACAATTAGCGAATTTGGACGTTGGACTTCTGGTTAGTGTTAAAAAAATTCAATATAGAGCTATTGTATTATTATTGTGAACTTTATCTATTAATGCGCTTGCATTTACACAATGTTTCTGAAGAAATTAAGTCATTAGACAGTGCCTGCAAGGTTATAACAAAAGTATTAAGCGATAACAATGCAGATATTACTTATGCATTAATTTATTTTATCAACCATAAATTGAATGTTGGTTATGAATCTTTGATTGCTCGTCTGGTTGCTACGACCTTTGATAAAGATAGTATTAAAGCAAGGCGTTTTCCTGATTATTTTCCAGAAACCCATGAAATAATTGACTTATCTAAGGAAACCGATAAGATCTACGAAACATACGTAGAACTGAAACGAGAAAAAACATCATATTCTCTTTTAAAATGTCAATCTTGGCCAATACACCTTCTAATAAAGGAAGGCCGTCATATAAAAGTTCTTTTAAAAGACGACTCTCAGGCGGTACTCTTATTAACACAAATTCCAATTGGCGGTGGGAAAATTTTATCAGCTGTATTGATTTGTGGTGTCAATCGGTTGCGCCCACTTGATGAACAATATATGGAATTTTTGCAAGTATGTGAAAGCTATCTTTATTAAATCTAAAATTAATTTCATAATACTTGTTAGAGAACCTTTGAATTGAATACATTATAATCTGTCAGTTGGTCGTAAATCAGATGAATACATTTTTGGTACACGGGAATTCAATAGAAGAAGAAAAGAAGCGGTCTAAGATATTAGTCAATTTAAACTACCAAAAGATCATGTTTTTTCAAGGCATTAGTCACAAATTAAAAAGTATTTAAATGTTATAAATTTTTTTTAAAAAAATAAAATATACTACTCAAATAAATTAACCCTTTATTTGTTTTATTATCATGCAAGCTCCATTAACCTTAATGCTTTCACCACTCGAAGATGTAATTAGTGTAAGTCCACGAGAAACACCAATAATGTCGCATCTTCAAACTATACGACGTAACGCCCGTCGATTGCTTAAACTTATTAATGCTTTGCTACAAGTAAGTCATATATAATTTAGTCCATAAATTATTCTATTAATGACGATTCAATTCTTGTGCAGTTTTCAAATATAGAGGCTAGTCAATTAGAAGCGCATTATACTGAAACGAATATAGTTGAATTTACTCAAGAGTTAGTTTCAGACTTTAAAAATATGGTCGAAACAATTGGTTTAGATTTCATTATCGATATTCCACATTCAAATGAATTCAATAACGACATGGGTGATAAAATTTACCTAGATCACGATATGTATGAAACAATTATATTTAATCTTTGTAAGCATTTTCTAAAAAATTTGTGTCAAAAATTTTTTTCTTAAGTCCGTTCGCTGAAAGTGCAGAGTTGGTAATAAGATATTTTACTTGATATAGGTTCGAATGCACTAAAGCACACTTGGAATGGATATATCACCATTCGCTTATATCATGACTATAGAGATAAGAAAAAGATGATAGTTTTCGAAGTATCAGATACAGGTTAT